ATCCCTGCACCTGCCCCACAGAGCTGATAGGCTGAGTGTGGGAGACAGAAGGCTGCCCGGTGACCACAGTGCCTTGGAGAGACGCGAGAAAAGCCACCTGTCTGATATTATGGGGGCAGAGAGACGGGCCGCTCTAACAGTTTCAGGTCAAACTTTAAAAACCGGGGTAGGAAAAGAGGGAAACTTGGATTTTACAACTTGCTTTTCTTTTCCAACAGTCACAAATACTTTAGACTTAAAAGAGCCTCAGATGCACTCCTGAGTGTACGCCCAAGAGAACAGAAAGCGGAGAGGCACACATATTCGCAGCAGTCTCGACAGCCAGGAGGCAGAAGCAGCGGGCAACGCCCACGCAGGGAAGAACTGAGAAAACACCGTCTGCGCGGGCAGAGCAACACCGCCCGGCCTGAAAGGGAAGGAAATTCTGAGCCAATCCCATGGCCCGGATGGACCGTGCGGACTTTCTGCTGAATTACATAAACCAGACGCAGAGAGACAAGATGGTCTCAGTCCGCTTGGGTGAGAGGCCCAGAGAGAGAAGGAGAGGAGACAGGAGGCAGAAAAATGTAACTCTGGAAAGCTCCGGAGCTGGATGGGCCGTGGGGAGGAGTCACAGCAGCGTGAGTGGGCTTGATGCCCCCGAACCGCACACACTTAGTGTTCAAATGATAGATTTTGTTATTACGACCATAGAGGAAAGGGCCTGGGAGAGTCCAAACAAGGCAGCTGAGGTCAAGAGAGGGAAATAAAATTGCTCAAGGCACAGAGCTGCCGGAGCAGAGGCTAAAACACAGCACTCTCCCGCCTGCCTCGTACAACGTCGGTTTACGCCCGGGGTGCTGAGCGCCTCACGAATGCAAACCCATGTAGCGCTCACTTGCACCCATGGAGCAGTGAGGAAACCGAGTCACACATCTGCCAGGATGGTGCCGGCAGCGAGCCACGTATCACTCGGCGTGTCTGTCTGATCCAGTTTTCAAGTCCTGTCCTCAAGGCGGTTCTGCCCACCCTACCCAGTGAACTACGAAAATGGCTCCGACGCTTTACCACCCCTCGCAGCGCTCTCTGTGATGTAACTGTGCTCAGCCATCAAGAGGCCAAATCTGCCTCCCCGTCCCTTGAACCCGGCCTGGCCGGGGGCCAGTGGAACGTGGCGGGTGTGAGGAGATGGTTTCAGCTGCAGGCCGCAGGAAACCCTGACACTTCCCTCCCTCGACACCCTGTGACGAAGGCCAAGGCCAGCCTGCTGGGGAGCAGGACATCCCTGTGGGTGGGGGCAGCGGAGGCCGCCCAAGAGCCAGCCTCGAGCATGTGACAGGACCCTGCCAAGGCCAGCTGAACGGGGCCAGATAGGACAAGGCCCAAGGCTCTGCACACAGGCCGGCCACGAACGCTCTCGAAGTTCCTAGCGAGGCTCATGTTCTGAAACAGGAGGTGGAGATGTCGGCTGGAACTCGAGGCTGCGTGAGGAAGTGGCCGGGGGAAGACGGAGGAGTGGGCCGTGTGTCAAGAGCAGTGTGAGTCAGTCATCCGTTTGGACTATAAAGCACTTGTTTACAAAGGCAAATATGGTAAATATGAGATAAACAGGAAATAAAGTGGAGAGGCAGGGGAGACTGGCGTGGTATTTTCTGCCCAATGCAGTCGGTAATGAGAAGCCTCACACACAACATGGTCGTTTTCTCCTCACGGTACCCTGATGGGTGTTTCGGTCTCCACCTCATGGTGGAGCGAGGGGAGGGAGGAGGGAGTCGCAGGACGGCCTAGGGGGAGCAGGGTTTGGGAGAGGGATCTCAGGCGCCCTGGGAGACGCAGGACGCAGGCGCTGTTCCCTGCACGGTGATTCCAGAATGCCTGTTTGGGGTGGGCACACGGGGATCCCCAAGGAGACTGAGTAAAGCATAGGGTGAAGGCAGGCTGGTTGGGGGCATCTGGTTTCCTCGTTTCCTGTGCTCTTGGCTTTTGACCGGCATGTCAGACAGATGGAATTCCTGCCAATGACTACCACTGGGGTTCCCTTGCCGGTAATCAGCTGTGAAGTTAGGGAAAGAACTCGAATATTCTGTCACTCAACAACATTGAACTTTCTCCTATTTAAAATTCTTACTGAAGCCGGGCATAGTGGTGCACGCCTGTAATCCCCGCACTCAGGAGGCTGAGGCAGGAGGATCAATGCAAGTTCAAGACCAGCCTGGGCTCCAAAGTGAGCTCAAGGCCAGCCTGAATTGCATAGTGAGACCCTGTCTCAAAAAGACAAAAACAATAAAATAAAATAAAATTCTTACTGAGAATTCAAATTTTATGAGTCTTTTATCTATAAACGTTTGTGAAGCTAATTTTTGTTTGTTTGTTTTTTCTTCCAGTACCAGGAATCGAACTCAAGACCTTGCACTTGCCAGGCAGGCACTTTGCCGCTGAGCTAAATTCCCAGCCCCTGTGAAGCTCATTTTTAAACCCCTTAAAATTTCATTTCCTACAGTTTATTCATTTTTAGTTATGTTGATTTCTCCTACAGGTGCAGTTATTTACTTAATTAATTTATATAATTTTACATTTTGTTTTGTTTTGTGAGACTCAAAATCTATATTTAGGAAGACAAGAAGAACAGGAACTAATATGTATTGCAAACCTGCTGTGTGCCTGGAATCATGTATGTGCATATGTGCGTGCGTGCGTGCGTGCGTGCGCGTGCGTGCATGTGTATACCTCGGTTAAATAATGAGACCAAATTTAAAAGATAATTAAGGGCAGAGTGGGCAAATGAGCTTTATCTTTCACGGACTTGCCTTCACTGATTTTTTTTTTGTCAGTGCTAAATAACGAGAAGATGATAATAAACACTGTTTCCCAGAAGCGTTTGAGAACACTGTTTAGAGAATAAAGTTTCTGCTCAGAACAGAAGATTCCATTGTGTTGCTAAATGTCATCGAAGAAAAACGCAGATGGATGTAAAACAGATGCGGATTCCAGCGTGAGTCCTGACACACTCACGGAGCCCCTGGCAAGCCACTGCCCGCATCTGCATCACTATTTTCTCCGTTGTAAAATTCAGAACAATAAATCACTTCGGGGCTACGATGGGAAGCAAGGGGAGACTACACATGAACGCGTATACCCTGTACCTATCCGGGATATAACTGATATTCATCTTCCTTTTCTTTCCAAAACGTTTCAGGTCCTGGAATTTCTCACTGGTATCTGGCTTCCTGCACAATATCAACATTTCCCGGGGGCTGGGGATTCAGCTCAGTGGCACAGCGCTTGCCTGGCAAGCACGAGGTCGTGAGTTCGATTCCCAGTACCAGGAAAAAAAAAAAAAAAAAAAACATTTCCTAGTTATGCTAAGGAGCAACTTTATTGAATTTGAGTCAGTGGCATATTAGTAGCTAAGTAGTAAGGCACAAAAGTCATCCATTGTTTTCACATCTCTCATAAGTGGGTAAGTAACTGCCACCTAAAGGTTAATTGCCAGCCTGAGCGGCATGAACCCATTAATGGGTGAAATGTGCGCTGTACACCAAGCATTCAGCATGTGCAAGAAGCCCAAACTCTGCAGCTGACTCACTGATAGCAACTGCTAGCCCGGTCCTCACCTCTGATTCACTCACTTACTGTACAGTGAACCTGAGCAAAAGCACATTTACACAGTACAAAGCCTTCAAGGGATGCGATTATTTCCCTGGGCAGGATATTAGAGAGTGTGCTTGTACGTAAGCAAAGAATTTAGAAAGACCATTGTTTCTTTCCAACATGACCCTTCTATTCATTCCTCAAATGTTTTCCCCATCAAAACATTTATACCATCTCTCACAAACGTAAAGATTCATTCATCCTTTCTAAAATGTGAACAGGCAGGGCATGGTGGCGCACGCCGGTGATCCCAGCCCTTGGGAGGCCGAGGTAGGAGGATCACTGTGAGTTTGAGACCAGCCTGGGCCACAAAGGAGCTCAAGGCCAGTCTGAACTGCAGAGCGAGACCCTGTCTCAAAAAGACAAAAAAATAAATAAATAAAAAAGTGAATAAGTGGTAAAGCTAAGGCCCTTGTTAAAATGTGAATAAATGGTTAACCAGGGGTTTTATCTACACCAGTGACCAACGTTAAGGAAATAATATGAGAAACAGAACAATGAGAAAGAATGACTTCAATCCATAGCCTTGCGTTGCTCCCTCAGTCAAATTAGCAGCCCACTGCTGGCACCTAAAGTTGTTTTTTTCCAACATGACCCTTCTATTCATTCCTCAAATGCTTTCCCCATCAAAACATTTATACCATCTCTCACAAACGTAAAGATTCATTCATCCTTTTTAAAATGTGAATAGGCAGGTACCCCTAAAGCCCCTTTACCCTGTCCCCAAAACTGTTATTTCACAAAGTAGGTGCTCAAGAAACACTTATTAGACCTACGAGGGCTTCATTCTATTGGGCAACCTGTTCCCCCCTACACACACACACACACACACACACACACACACACACACCCCGCACTGTCCCTGCAACCAAGCCACTACCATCAGCTTCTCAGGATTCCTGACTGATGTCCTGGGAAACTGTTCACAAGGACAGCTCGAGTGAGGGTGAGTCCATGCTGAGAGAGACCAGCCTCCAGTGTGACATGGAGCCCAGAGCGCCTCCTTGGAACAGGAGCTACCAATAAAGCACAGGGCCAGACGTGGTGGTGCACACCTGTAATCCCAGCCCTCGGGAGGCTGAGGCAGGAGGATCGATGCGAGTTCGAGACCAGCCTGGGCTCCAAAGTGAGCTCAAGGCCAGCCTGGACTGCATAGGGAGACCCTGTCTCAATAAATAAATAAATAAACAAACAAACAAATAAATAAAGCACAGGGAGGTCACAGCAACGCCGCCTGGAGCTCAGAAAGGCAAGCCCTTCCACAGCGACCGGATTCCTTTCACACGTTTGCAGCATTCCCCACTGGAATCGACCAGGCAACCCGAAGAGTGTTCAGGGGAGGATGGCTGAGGCTCCCTCCTGGGACTCACCTGAGATCCATATCTCCATCCACCCAGAAGGTGAAGATGTTGGAGATGGTCCCCCCGGGGCAGCACCCCATGATGAGGACAGCGACCGCTTGCACGGGCTTCAGAGCAAAGCTCACCGCCAGGAGATAGGCTGTCAGCGGCATAAGCCCGAACTGGCAGAGCAGTCCCACGGCAACGCCCCAGGGTCTCCTGAGGTGCCGCCAGAGCTTCCGGACGTCCACGGAGCACCCCAGAGAGAACATGACCATGGCTATCATCACAGCGGACCCCACGGTGAAGACCAGTCCCAGGCCCCCGCGCGCCTCTGGCATCCCAGGCAGCTCCTCCTCCGAGCCGTTGGCAGGGCACGCAGAGCTGCTGGAGCAGTTGGCTGTCATCTCCTCCGCCCAGCATCCCAGGGAGCCGGCCACGACGGCTGCGCAGGTCTATCCTGCCACCCTCTGTAACAGTGCCACCACGTCAGGCGTGGAGAACTGCTGCAGTCTCGATTGGCCAGCCAGGTGACTCATCCTAGTCCGATCGATGCATTTACTGGTGGCATCATACAGCCGAGGCCTGGGCGTGCAATACACGGTGCTCAGCAAGGCTCTCTCCCTCTGCTCTTACTCACCAGTGAGCACGCAGAAGCGAGACGGCAGTGTCATCGTCAGGTGGAGCGGCCGGGCTCTGTCCTCAGCCCGACACCGTGCTCCAGGAAAGCAGGCTGGGTGCCAGGACATAATTTCTCCAAGCCCGGTCGGGATCTTAAGAGCCAGGATGCACGGTGATGTGGAGAGAATGGCTAACTCCGGAAAAAACAAGGCAGCTCTGCCAAGCCACGCCTCCTAGCCTGAGCTAAGCGCTGCTGTGGGAAAAATTAAAGCAAAAGGAGGCTGCTTAAGGAAACGTCAGGAGAGACTGGAATGATTTCAGGGGACCTCCAGAACTGGTCCGAAGGGTTGGGGACTTAGCTCAGTGGCACAGCGCCTGCCTGGCAAGCACAAGGTCATGAGTTCGATTCTCGGTACCGGAAAAAAAAAAACAACAACAACAACAGCAAAAAGCAACCTAGTAACATTTAACACAGTCATTAATATTGGGGCTGGGGATTTGGCCCAGTGGCAAAAGCGCCTGCCCGGCAAGCGCAAGGTCGTGATTTCGATTCCCGGTAATGGCAGAAAAACAAACAAAAACAGAACTGGTCTGAGTGCCTCTTCTTTCTGCTGAATGAGGATTTGCCTCTACAGCCAATAGCTAAACACCTGCAAGAATAACATGGTATTAAGCGCGAGAAGTTGTCTCACGCAACATGTGGAAACTCGATTCTGAAGCGGAAATACACCAGGGAGCTGTGGCTTTCTTGTGTGGAGCCCCAGGCCACTGGGGGAAGTCTAGAAAGCCGCCCGGTCTGGAACCCGAGGCCGGGCAGGCTCTGAACACACCGCCCAGGGTCCTGAGTGCACTGCGCGGGTGACAGGGACCAGACAAGGACAGTAGGCTCCCCCGAAATAAACTTCCAAGCAGCAGGGACCTCGCCCTCCCCACAGCCTTGTGTTTGCGGGACAGCTGCTAACAGGGACACTTTACCTGCTGCTCAGCCTGTCCCAAGAGGACGTGACCTGCAGCGTCTGGTCCAGGGTTAGCAAGTTCTCTTCTGTGTCCAAAGGCACCAGGCATGTTCGCTGCATACAAATGCAAGCTGGATTTCATTGTAGGTACATTCTAACTACGTGAGGAAACTGCCACGGGCAGCTCTGGGCGGCTAGTAGGAGGGGCAGCCCCAGAGGGCAGAGCTGTCCCCAGCTTGAGTGGGGCGGCGTGCTGGGGGACGGAGGCGTGCCGGGGGACGGGTGTGCCAGGTGCTTTACCCGCATGTGACTGTATCTGATGAAATCAGCAGCTTAGTTTTTATGTACTTATTTAGTAAGAGAAGGTACGAGATGCTTCTGTCTGGTAATGTCAACAAGTCCCGTAGCAGACCCTTTATCCCCTATGAGTCACCTGAGGGCCCTTCCCTGTTACACAAATTCAAGTTTAGTAAGCGCCTCATTCCTGGTGAGGGTGACCTAACAGGAACTTTTGTGGTGGGTTGAATGTTCGGTATTGATACCTAGAGGTAGGGACTAAATTTGTCCAGGGGTCTTAAGGAGCCAGGTGACTTTGGCCACTTTCCCTTTTGAAATGTAGTGTTACCAAAACTTCTCAAATAAAGCCGGTATGCACACCTGTGACCCCAGCACTCAGGAGGCTGAGTCAGTAAGATCCCAAGTTAGTAGCCAGCCTGTGCAACTTAGTGAGATCTGTCTCAAAGTACAATTAAAAGGCTGGGGAAGGGGGTGGTTCAGTGGTAGAGCGCTTGCTAGTACGTGCAGGGCCCTGGGTTCCATAGAAGAAAAAATCCCCCATGAAAAGGATGATTCCAACTGAGGTCTGCTCTCTGGAGCACAGACCAAGGTGCTGTTAGCCACAGAGAAAGGGGGAACTCCCGACTGATCGGAGCTCTCTCTGGACCCCGGCCCCACACACAAGGTGCAGGGTGACACAGGACACACTGGGTGGCACCTGACAGAAGGCACCCTGAGGGCCCCAGCCTGAGCACCAGCATCGTGTGCAGGTCCAGGACCAGAAGGAGCACGGTCGCCTGGGCAGAGGCCATGCCACTGAGGCTCCCCGGCAGCCCAAGTTCCCGACAGCAGCGGCAGTGGCCGAGTGGCGGGTGCTGTCGGGGGACCGGGTGGCAGGGAGCCGATGTCAGTGTCGCGGAGGGAGCCGCATTCCCACCCACCCTGCTGGGCCTGTAGGATTTGGGGGACCGATCAGGCAGTGTGAGAAGGTGGCCACACTGCTGTGCGGTGGGCCCCGAGACCCACAGAAGCCTCATGGCCACTCCAGAGGCAAGCGCCAGCCTTCCTGCTGACCTGGGGCAGACCGAGGCCCGGGCTGCGTGCTCTCCCAAGGAGACCCGGCAGTGAGGCTGCAGCCCTGGAACCTTATTCTGGCCTGCTGTACCCCAGGGGCACAGCAGAGAGAGCCAGAGAGGCTGGTGGTGGCCTGGTCATCTACAGGGTGGACAGCCGGGGACAACGCTCACCCCGCCGCCACAGACACACAACCCATGCACCCTCGTCTCCGCTCCCACCTCCTGGGCTCGCTGTGTAAAAACGCACCCTCCTCTGGAAAGCCCAGTCCATGCAGCACAGCGGGCGCTGCGCATGTCACACACCTCTGCAGAGATAGCCAGGGCGGTTATCCTCAGACACCGAGGCCTGCACCAAGCAGGCTGAGAACTAGAAGCCGACAGGAAGAAGAAATAAACGTGGCTGCTGAATTGTTTGCCCAACGCTGAAAATGAGCAGAAGGAGAGACTTCTAGAACCCAGAAGGACATAAATATCCTACAGGTACGGGACATGGTGGCGCACTCCTGGAATCCCAGCATTCAGGAGGATCGCTGCCAGTTTAAGGCCAGCCTGGGCTACAAAGTGAGTTCAAGGCCAGCCTGAAATGCATGGTGAGACTCTGGCTCAAAAAACAAGACAAAACGAAAATCCTAGAGGCGCAGAAAGAGTTTAGGTAAATTTGTGTGAGACAGATCCGACAGGAAACTAACAGTCATGGAAAAAATACAAACAAGATCCTGGTCAAAAGTTTAATGCAGTATGTTTTAAAAATCAGACCTCAGCCAGGGATTTAGCTCAGTGGCAAAGCGCCTGCCTGGCAAGCGCAAGGTTGTGAGTTTGATTCCTGGTACCAGAAAAAAAGAAAAAAGAAAAAAAAAAAAGGACAAAAATCAGACCTCAGAAATAGAAACAATAAATGCCACATAAGAAAGAAGGGTGAAACAGTTAGAAAATCTGCCAAAAACAGGACGCAAAAAGTTTAAAATTTTAGTAGTCTGTAATCCCAGCTCTTGAGAGGCTGAGGCAGGAGAATTGCTGTGAGTTTGAGGTCAGCCTGGGCTACATGGTGAGTTCAAGGGCAGCCTGAATTAGAGCAAGACCCTGTCTCAAAAAAAAAAAAAAACTTAGTAAAATGGTCACCATCACTAATAGCTGTGTAAAAGTATATTTTTAAACCCTGGGCTGGGTATGGTGCCACACACCTGTAATCCTCATACTCAGGAGGCAGAGGCAGTAAGATCACTGCGAGTTTGAGGCCCAGCCTGGGATACATAGTGAGTTCAAGGCCAGCCTGCACTGCATAGCGAGACCCTGTCTCAAAAAGACAAAAATAAATAGATAAATAATTTGTTTAGAAAATGAAATAGCTGCGAAGGACTGTTTTCATAATCAAGAAAAAAAGGAGCCAGAGGCAAAGAAGTAACAAGAGAAGAAGTGGCCATCCAGGGCAGCAGCTCCCCTCCAGGCTGGTGACAGCGGGGTGGCTTGGGCGACCTTCAGTCCTCGGGGTCCAGACTGCCCAACAACTTGGTGGTTGTCTCTGCTCTGGTTTTCATAAGGGCAGCTGACAAACGCCCAGGCTGCCAGGTAGACACACCTGCAGGCCGTGCAGATCGAGGCTGAGAACCAGCAGGGGTCCGGGCCAGAAAAGGAGAGCAGGTGCTCCCCAGACACACCCTCTGCTCCCGATCACTCAGTACCCAGCAGGGAGCGAACACGCGGTCAGCAAACTCGCCCGCCCCCGCCCCGAGGCACGCGATGCTCAGGGTCACCTGCGGGCCTCTTCCCAGCGTGCCTTCCGGCTTCAGCTCCTGTGTTCGTTCTTTCTTTCTTTCTTTTTTTGCCTTTTTGAAACAGGGTCTCGCTACGCAGTTCAGGCTGGCCTTGAGCTCACTTTGTAGCCCAGGCTGGTCTCAAACTCTCAATGATCCTCCCGCCTCAGCCTGCTGAGTGCTGGGATTACAGGCGTGCGCCACCGCGCCTGGTTGTGTTCTTAAAATGAGGGTCGCAAAAACAAAAAGTCGCAAAGCCCGTTTAAAGCACAGGAAGCCAGTGATCCCCAGCTGTGACGAATGAAATGCATCGAGTTTATCATTCACGAGAACAGACCGCTGACACTGGCCTTCTGTCTAACCACCACCACTCACTGGGTCCTTGTGTGTATGTGCCAAGTCCCCAGGAGAGTCCCCGCAGCCCCTCTGGGTCTCCCCAGCAGCCCTGCCAAGCGGGAGCCACATCACCTCATTTACCGTGAGAGCAGAGAGGCTTGCAGAAATCAGGCTTGCCTAGGAGACGCTGGAGAGCAGTAAAGCCGAGATTTTATAAGCAGACAAGTGAAGCAGAGGACAGCAGGTGGCTGGGGAGGCAGAGTCGGGATGACCAGGTCTTCATCAGATGAGCCTGAGGTCAGAGTCAGCAGAACCAGGGAGGTCCAGGGATGTAATACCCGAGGGGACAGCAAGGAGATGAATCCCCACTGTAACACCTCGGCTCTTGCATATCTAGAAAACTTGTTTCCTCCTCACTTTATTTTACTTTCTTTTGTGTTTTTTGTTTTTTTTTTTTTGGTGCAGGGAATCAAATTCACGACCTTGGCTTGCCAGGCAGGCGCTGCGCAGCTGAGTTATATCCCTGGCCCCCACTTTGTTATTTTAATGAAGCACTTGGGCAGGATAGTGGCCAAGAGGCTCCTGCAGACGTAAGCTTGCTGTGGGCCTCAAATCCATGGAGGCCATTTTTAGCTTCAGTAAACTAGTTTTATCACTACGTACTTGGTAAGGGAATAATCCAAGATGAAGAGATAACAATCATAAATATATATGCACCAAATACTGGCACACCCAACTACATAAAACAAACACTCGTAGGTATGAAAGATCCGATACACACTAACACAATTGCAGTGGGGAAAGCTCAACACCCCAGTGTCACAAACAGATCAACGAGACAAAAACAAAATCAACAAAGAAATATCAGAGCTGAACCAAACCTTTGGACAAATGGGCTTAGAAGATGTGTACAGTGTTCCACCCCACAAAGAAGAATGCATTCTTCTCAGCAGCACATCAGACATTCTCCAAAATAGACCACATACCAGCTCATAGACCATACTTAAGTAAAGGCAAAGGAACTGAAATTATGCCATGCATGTTATCAGGTCGTAGGGCAAAGAAATTGGAAACCAATGGCAAAACAAACCAGGAGGTTTCTCCTCACCAGGAGGCTGAGGCAGGAGGATCTTTGCAAGTTTGAGGCCCGTCTGGGCTACAAAGTGAGTTCAAGACCAGCCTGAGCTGCATAGTGAGACCTGGCTCAAAAATATGAAAAAAAATTAAAAAAAAGAAACCACCTAAACTACATAATTTCCATAAATATATGGAAATTAAATAATATCCTCTTGAACAACCAATGGGTCACAGATGAAATTAAAGAAGAAATTAGACAGTTTCTACAGTTCAGTGATAATCCCAATACAACAGACTGGAATTTATGGGACATAATGAAAGCAGTCCTACCAGGGAAGTTTATAGGGGTGAATTCCTACATCAGACAGATGGAGTGAGCTCAAATAAATAACCTAATGCTAAACCTCAAACTTCTAGAGAAAGAGCAAGTTAAAACCAAAGGTGGTACAAGAAAAGAAACTATAAAAATTAGAGCAGAAATAAATGCAACTGAGACTAAGAAAATAATACAAAGAATCAATGAATTGAAGAGTCAGTTATTTGAAAGATTAAATAATATAGACAAACTCTTAGCCAACCTTATAAAAAAAAAAAACAGGAGAAGGAACTTGAACTTGAGATGCTCCTGCCTCAGCCTCACTGAGTGCTGGGATTACAGACCTTCACCACCATGCCTGGCTGTTACCAAACCTTTGACTCACCGAGTGTTGAATCCAGGTGCTAACTGATATTCTGAAAGAATAATAATCATCCTGAAATGAATAAGACCTTAATTTAATGTCTGAATGACCCTTTTATTGTGTAGTAATTACCTGGTTGAAACATTCATGATCTTAAAAACAAAGAACTATTTCCTCATGCCAGACTGTAAAGTACTTTACAGTAGCCTCCCTAAAAAAATAAAATACATAAAACCCATTCTTCACCCTGTCAACTAACTACCCCCCCAACAAGGGGGTGAAGGGAACCCGCGCAAGGCAGACACTTTACGATGCAGCCTGAGAATGCGACTGTCTGTCCTTTCTTCCCACACCTTCAGCCAGACGTTAACCCCGAAAGCCACGGCTACACAGGGCCAGAACTGCTTTCTCTCCACCTTCCTTTGCGAGGCCAAGAGGATACACAGCTTAGTCCCTGACCAAAATAATCAGAATAAAGATGGTTAGACCGGGCGTGGTGGCACACGCCTGTAATCCCAGCACTCAGGAGGCTGAGGCAGGAGGATCACTGTGAATTTGAGACCAGTGTGGGCTACAAAGTGAGCTTAAGGCCAGCCTGAACTGCATAGCAAGACCCTGTCTCAAGAAAAAAGAAAAAAAAAATTATTGGACTGGGAATATAGCTCAGTGGCACAAGCGTCTGCCTGGCAAGCACAAGGTCCTGAGTTTAATTTCTGATACAAAAAAAAAAACAGAATAAAGATTGTTGATGAGACCAGTATTACACAGGCAATCAGACAGCAGCCCCAGGCACTGGGCTCTGCACTTCCAGAACTCTGGGTTTTCATAGGTGCTTTTCTAGCACTTACGCTGGGGCTCCGTAAATATGAGCCACTGCAGTGCCCGTTGTTATTAAGAGCATCTGTTACCTCTAACTTGGAAAATAACAATCCGAGTTTTAAAACTCTTTTGCTCCAGCTTTCAATTTTCTGAATTTTTGTTGTTGTTCAAAGCCTTTTGTTAGTAAAACTTGAAAGTTTCATTCACATGCTATAAAAAGGCCATGAGAAAGCTATATGTATATGATCATGAGGAAAGAAACCTAGTATTAGGAAATAACCTTCTTTTTGAGACAGGGTCTCATTATGCAGTTCAGGCTGGCCTTGAACTCACTATGCAGCCCAAACTGGCCTCGAACTCACAGCAATCCTCCTGCCTCAGCCTCCTGAGTGCTGGGATTACAGGTGTGCGCCACCACGCCTGGCCAAACTTCCTCTTATGTTAAGGCAATTACAATTATGTCCGTGGAAACTATTTCTACTACTTGTGCAAGGTAATGTCAGTGTCATTAAACTGCAGTGCTAGAGTTCTGACAGTCACTGTCCCGGGCACATCTGAGCCTTGGTGCTACCAAGCACCTGGGGAAGGAGCTGGGGCACGGGGCCCAGGCAAGGCGAGGTCTGGTCATTTGGGGTTCGGGCATCCTCATCTCTCCAGCTCTACATAGTGGATGGGGGCAGCAACCTCAATTCCCACAGGAAATGGCCATATGGGGAGTAATTGCTCAAACAATACACCAGAGGGAGTCCGCTTCCGCATGCAGAAGAGGCTGCTTTGACAGAGTTGCTTTGGTGGAGTCCATCTGCAGTAGGAAAACAACACGCGGGGAGGTCTGCTGGGGAGGCCACACCAGACGCCCTTCAGTGCTGATGGTTTCTTACTTGTAAGCACTCAAATGTTTATCAGTAAATTCTGAGATAAGCAGAGGGTAGCATCCATACACTACAGTTTTGCTCAGCAAAAAGACACACACACACACACATACATACACACAACAATGTGTATAAATCACAGAATAATTATGCTGAGTATAAGAAGTCCCATCAAAAAACAGTACATATTGAATGATACCATTTATAAAAATTCTCAAAAAGCAGTTTGCATGGTGGCACACGCCTGTAATCCCAGCACTCAGGAGGCTGAGACAGGAGGATTGCTGCAAGTGTGAGGCCAGCCTGGGCTACAAAGTGAGCTCAAGGCCGGCCTGAACTTCATAGTGAGACCCTGTCTCAAAAAGACAAAAAAAAAAAAAATCTCAAAAAATGCCAACAAATCTATGTTACCAGAAAGCTGATAGATTGTGACCTGGAGGCCGTGATGGGAAGGGAAAGAGGAAGGATGGGTGACAGGGGACACAGAAAATTCTTGAGGTGTTGGACATGTTCCTTAGCCTGACAGTGAGGATGACCCACATGGTAGACATCTGTCAGTACACCCAAGGGAACGCTTTCAGCGGGTGCTATTTATCGAGC